AAACCAGTCTATGATTCTATGATTCTATGTCTTCTATGTGCCTGGAGAAGTGAAGTTGAAGGAGATCTGCTGTTTTCAATGATCTAATGGGGCTATTGAGATAGAGGGTCCAGATTCTTCTCAGAAGTGCATGTGAAAGGACAAAAGATAATGGACACAAATTTCAGCAAGGGAAACTTCAACTGGATATAGGGAGAACATTTCCCCAATGAGAGTGAAGTTACCCTAGGATACAGACAGACCCAGAGAGGTGCTGGGACATCCATCCTTCAGGATATTCAAAACTCATGCAGACAAGGCCCTGAACAATCTGATCTGCTATGAAGTTAGAGCAAGAGGTTGGAGCAGAGACTGTGGAGGTCCCTTCCTGCCTGAGCCTTTCTGTGCTCCTGTGCCTAAGCAGGGCTGGGTGGGTTCCCTACACACCAGGGATTTGCTTTGCGAAAGTTGCCTGGTTTGACTCTGGGCATTTGTCTTGTGGGCTTGAAGCCAGGAAGGGCTTTGTGCATGGCAGAGAGACTGCTGGGACCACTGCTGGGACCACACTGCTAGGAGGGTTCACGTCCTACTGCTCTGCTGGTGTGGGCTTGACCTGCCCTCCCAGTCACCAGGGGTGAGAGCATGTGTGTCACTGACCCCTGTGTCCTTCTATAGCTACGAGCTGCGTGTGATTATCTGGAACACGGACGATGTGATCCTTGATGATGTCAACCCAATAACAGGAGAGCCTTCCAGCGACATCTACGTGAAAAGGTCGGATGGGAGCCAGAGGGAGGCCAGAGCCTGGCTGTCCTGCTCCCTGCCCTGCCCCACACCCTCACTGCCTCCTCTGAACCTTTGCTTCTCCCTGCCTCAGCATGAGGTGCCCCACTCCATTCCTCTGCACTGACTGCTGTACTGTTGGTCAGATGTTGGTCCAGTTTGGCTCTTTGACTCTTCCTTTCTGGCTATCCCATGAGGTTCAACCCTTCCATCCTTCTGCTCTGCCTTTGGGGCTGGCTGACAGGGGGTAGGAGATAACTGAGTTTCTCCTGCAGCTGGATAAAGGGTCTTGACCATGAAAAACAGGAGACGGATGTTCACTTTAACTCCTTGACCGGGGAGGGCAATTTCAACTGGAGGTTCATCTTCCGCTTCAACTATCTCCCGACTGAGAAAGAGATCACTTACAAGAAGAAGGACTCTGTCTTCTCCATGGAGGAATCAGAGTTTCGGGAACCGGCTGTTCTGGTCCTCCAGGTCTGGGATTATGACAGGATTTCAGCTAATGACTTTCTAGGTATGGTGTGACCTGCTGGAATTGGGATGAGCTGTCCCTCACCTTGCTGGAGTATTACAGCATTTCCCCTAGGGCCCAGCTCTCTGAGAAGGGACACCAGAAGCATCAGATCAAACTCTTCAGCTCAGCAGTCACCTAGGCTGGTTTTTCACATGTGAGCTATAGGCAGAGCCTGGAGATACACATTCTCTACTACACAGACATGTTGAGCTTGCGTGCTTGTCCCAGGCCCTTGGTGTCCTTTTTCAGGGCCTGTCACACCACAGGATTTCCAGGTTCTGCTTCCTTACAACCTTTCTGATAAACTTGCTCATTTTCCCTGCTCTCACTTAGATCTGCAGATCCCAAAGACTTGGACAAAGAGCAGCTTTCCCACAAGCTTATGTTGTGGGCACAGGAACTGGCAACCTTTGTGAGACCATTTGCACTTGAGTTGTGGCATCACATCACTGGGGGCTTGGAGCTCCCCGGCTGCTCTGGTACTTCCCAATAACCAGACCTGCTGAGCTGGGCATGCGGCAGAGCCTACAACAGCAGTCTCACCTGCTTCTCTCCTTCTTCTGCTGCCATTCCCAAGTTGGTAGCACTCCGTTCAGTTGTCCCTCCCTTCTTCAAAATTTGGCCTCCCCATTAAAAACAGCCCCTCTGCCCTACTGTCTCTTGGGCAGGATAAACTCTCTTTATTCATCAGCTCTCCATGGTGTATTTGAAGGGCTCTACCTCCATGAGGCACTTCCAGTGGTGGTTGGTTCAACCATGCTCTTCAGGCACTGAAGAAAGTGTTAGACAGCAATCCCAATGATTCCTGGCATGTACAATCTCAGGAACTTCTAGGCAGGAAGGGCCTTCTGCAGTCTTTATTGCAACTTCTGACTCCAAGCAGGGCTAGATGCAGCGGAGGTCAGGTTGCTCAGGGCCTTGCCTGGGTGAGTTTTGAGTGTCTCCAAGAATGGACATCCCAGAACCCTGCTGGGCCCCTTTCCTGGCTGCACCATTCTCATAATTCTCAATTTTTTTTCACTCACAGCAGCTTGTGTCCATCGCCTTACATGCGTCCATCATCCATTTCTAAGAGGAGTCTAGCTCCATCTACTCTATAGCTTCCTTTAGGCTGTGAGAGTCGCAGTAAGATCTCCCCCTTGACCTCTCTTCTCTGGGCTGAACCTGCCTGGGTCTCTCAACCCATCGTGCTATGGCACGTACTCTAGCCTTGACCATCTCACCCACTGGACTCTGTCTAGTTGGTTAACACCTTTCTTCTGTTGGGGCCCCAAAACTGGACACTGTATCCAGATGCAGTCTCACCAGAGTTGAGCAGAGAACACCCACATCCCTTGGTTGCTGGCTTTGCTTTTGCCAATACAGACCAGGATGTGATAAGACTGATTTGTTGCAAGGGCTCAGTGCCAAAGTGGGACAGGAGCTCTTCCCAAGGAGGACAGGGGCACAAGGCCAAGCAGGGAAATGAACTGAGGCTGTTTCAGATGTCAGACAGACTTGAAACTTTTCAAGAGTTTCCCAGATTTTATATTTTTTTATTGACATTTGCAGTCATGAGAGGGGAAGAAGAGCTTGGACATGTGAGGAGAGCAGAGTGGGAGATGGTAAAGGAGTGAAATAACTCACTGTATCACATGCGAACCAAACTGGCCACATCAGAGATGAGACAAGACCTGTGGCTTCTGTTTCTTCATCTCTGATTCTTGGGCTGGTCCTTTCTTACCCTGAGCTTCAGGTTCTCCACCTGTAAGTGTGCAGGACTCTGATAGATCCTTGTAGCAGCTGGGACCTACTCATGGTGGTGGGAGTGTGGCTGAGACAGAAAGTTAACTGGTGTGTGGGGCTGACCTCAGGATTTCACCATGAGCTCTCCTCTTCACTGTGTCTGCAGGCTCCATCGAGCTGAAGCTACATGACATGGTGCGGGCAGCAAAGAGCTCAGAACATTGCACCATCAAGATGGCCAAGGAGAATGCAACACCTCGCTTCTCCATCTTCCGAAACAAGCGCATGAGGGGCTGGTGGCCCTTCATCAAACTCAAAGATCAAGAAGATGAGGAGAGAGAGGAGAGGGAGGACAAGCAGAAGAAGAAGAAAAAGAAGTGGAGCCGCCCAGTCAAACCAGAGGACGTGGAGTTTGCAGACCCCAGTGGGAACAAGTACATCCTGACGGTAAGGCAGCTGCTGGCACACGTGAGCAGAGACCTGGTGTTTTGCCTCTGCCTTGACATGGCAACTTGTCCTGCATGCACATAACCTACAGAGGCAGCAGTGACCCAGCTGCCCAGGGCTTTGTGCAGGATCCTGGAGTCTTCTCCCATCTGCTGCAAATTCAAGCCTCTCTCTACCCCGAAGTGCCAGCTGTGTCAGAATGTGGGGAGTGTCCAACTTCACATCTTCCTCTGAGCTTTCCATAGAGCAGCGTTCAGTGAGGGAAGCAAGAGGCACATGGCTCCCCATCAACCAGACAGGACAGCAGCAAAAGCTTGGCCTAGGGTCTCTGCCTACCCCAGACAGGCAGGTGCCAATTGTCCCCGGGCAGACGTGCTGCTAATGGCCCTGCTAGTGGACCATTGGTTGTCCCCAAGGGTGAGTTTTGCTCAGTGCCAGTGGGGGAGGCTGCAGACAAATCCAGTTGGTTTCTGGCCAGGCCACAGTTTCTGCTGGCTGTGAAGTGAGACGTTCTGTAGCTGATGCCTGAAGAGAAAAGTTAATTGTTCTGAGCATCTGTAAGTGGAACTGGGAGAAGAATACCCAGTTCTGGCAGGGTGTGTGGTCAGCAGGCTGGTCTGTGAAGCATCATGTGTGGCTGTGGCTCAGACGTGTTCCCCCTCCAGGGTAAGGTGGAAGCGGAGTTCCAGCTCCTGACTCTGGAGGAAGCTGAGAAAAGTCCTGTTGGTTTGGGCCGAAAAGAGCCCGAACCCCTGGAAAAGCCCAAGTGAGTATCTTTGTTTTCACCTTTAACATGGATGGACAGTGGTGTGTTTTCAGCTGTGGTGTGTTTTGTGTGGGGACAGGGAGCTTCTGCTTGTGAGGAAGCTGAGAGCAATCAATGAGGTCCTGGGCGATGGGGTCTGCAGGACTGGGGCTGCCAGGGCTTCCCAGAGCTTGAGTCGTTCCCACAGGACTTGTGGCTGCAGCATCTGGGCCAGGGCTGATCTCAATGAGGTACTCAAGGAATCACAGAATCACAGAATGTCGGGGTTTGGAAGGGACCTCGAAAGATCATCCAGTCCAACCCCCCTGCCAGAGCAGGGACCTAAATGAGATCACACAGGAGGGTGTCCAGGCGGGTCTTGAATGTCTCCAGAGGAGACTCCACAACCTCCCTGGGCAGCCTGTCCCAGGGCTCTGTCACCCTCACTGTAAAGAAGTTCCTTCTCAAGTTTAAGCGGAACCTCCTGTGTTCCAGCTCACACCCATTGCCCCTTGTCCTACCCTTGGGCATCACTGAGAAGAGCCTGGCTCCATCCTCATGACATTCGCCCTTTACATATTTATAAACATTAATGAGGTCACCCCTCAAGGGAAGGAAGCCATAACACTGCCTGGACAAAACCAGCAGCTCTGGTTTAATCATGTGAGCACACGTGGGTGTGGAACAGCTCTTCAGGGGCTGTCCTGAGGCTCAGGTCCTGTTGTCTCCAGTGGTTCCATGGGCACTGTAGTTACTGCAGCCCCCAGGGTGATCCTGCCTGGAAACATCAGGAAGAGCTGGTGACCCATGAGGGTGGCAGGGCGCCAAATCAAAGGGGCCAACATGCTGCTCTGTGGATTGAGCCTGTGCTTAGCTGTTCTTCCCTTCCTCTTCCAGCCGGCCAAAAACCTCTTTCAACTGGTTTGTGAATCCCATGAAGACTTTTGTGTTCTTTATCTGGAAGCGGTACAAGAAATACATCATTGTGCTGTTCATTGTCGCTGTTCTGACCATCTTCCTGGTTCTTTTGATCTACACTATGCCTGGATACATCAGCGAGAAGATCATCAATGGATAAATGCTCTCCAGCACAGTACTGCTCAAAGACATGGGGGATTATTGCAGGAACTGAGACTGGACTAGAAAGTTTAAGGAAACTTTGCAGGTGCAGAGGCAACCTTCAGAGTGAGAAACCTGCAGGAGTGGCCTCTCTTTGGGGAGTCACATTTCATGCTAAGTACCCATGAGATGCTAAGAAACCAAGCATCAACCTACTGAAAAAAAACAAACTCCTTGAAGGACAGTTACAGGTTTGGGAATAATAAAACCTCTTTGTAGGACTGGGGTGGGAGGGTGGGAAAGTGGCATCTGCTGGGGCTGTGCCCACAGACACGGCAGCTGAAACCAGCTCTTGCCATTGAGAGCAATTCTGTTAGAGATGGGGACGTACAGAGCCATCCATGCCCCAGCTTGACAACACTTGGACCTTCCCAGGCCTCAGCATGAAGAGTTCAAAACACATTGTACAGGGAGGGAAGGCAGGTCTGGTGTAGGGTCCTGATGGAGGTAGGACCTGGAAGATCTCTGAAAGGGGCTCCTCAGGGAGAAGGACAACAAAGCCAAGGTAGTCGTGAGCTTTCTGCTGTGCCAAGAGCACAGGAACAGCTCTTGGAGTTGGAGTTGGCTCTGGACGTGGTAGCACTCCCTGGGACATGGACTTTCTGGTTGTCACTCCTTACAAGATGCTTAACAGCTTTTCCTGCATGTGCTGCGTTGGATTCAGACTTCCTTCAAACTTCATTTTGTCTCTTCATTTCCAATGCAATAAAAGCTCCTTGGCTGCTCTCTGCGATGCTGCTTGTGTTGTGTAGGTGCTTTGTGGAGCTGGTGGCCAGCCTGCTGCAGGCAGTCCTCACTGCTGCCCCTTTGCCCATCCTCCTGGGTAGCACAGCACTGGGACACTGGCACGGGGGGGTCATCAGCGGGAATCTGTATTGTGGTGTTGGGCTGATGTAAATTAAACGAGACTTGTTCTCAGCATGGTCTCTGGTGCCCCGGGGTTCCTGTCTTCTGCACAGACAAGCCCTGACATGATCTGATCTCAAGCGGATCAGCACTTCGCCCAGAGTTTTAACAGAACAGATTCCTTCGGAAGGTCTCTTCCTGGTGCAGGAGATGATGCTCAGAGGGACCGCTGCATTTCAGAAGAAATTAACTGACAGCGGGTGTTACAGTGAAGATGGCCGCCTGATTGGCTTTCGGGTGGGGCAGGAATAGAGGAATTTTGGGGGAGAAAACTCGCTGGGCAGAGCCAGGCAGGCAGGTAAGGAGCAGGTGAGGAGGTGTGAGTGTGGGACAGACAAGGTGCTCCCCCAAGGAGTTCAACTGCTGGGTGGGGGCCCCGGAATGGCAAAGGGGACCCCCAGTGTGTTGGGCTGCAGCAGGAGTGAAATGGGATGTGAAGGGCTCAGGTCATATGGCACCTGCATGGGGCTAGAACAGGGCCCTGGGGTGTGACAGTGCTGGTGCCAGCGCCGCGTCACCTCCAGCTTTCTGCAAGGTGTGTTGTGCGGGACATCGCCTTCACAAATGGTGCCCAGTGCATCCCAGGATACCTGGTGCATCCCAGGATACCTGGTGCATCCCAGCATTCCCAGTGTACCCCAGCATGCCCAGTGCATCCCAGGATACCTGGTGCATCCCAGCATTCCCAGTGTACCCCAGCATGCCCAGTGCATCCCAGGATACCTGGAGCACCCCAGCAGTGCCCAGTACATCCCAGCAGTGCCCAGTGCCCCCCAGCATGCCCAGTGCACATCCCCAGCAGCTCTGTGACTCTTGCAGCCACGCTCAGCTACATTTGCCCCCACACCCCGAGGCCAGGGCTCCCTGTGCCCCA